CAAAGTTTCTGTACTGTTCACTGGTTTGCGATTTTCCCATGACCTCATTACCATTATTTTCTCATCAAACGAAACGAGAACAAAGTAAACTGAGTGTGAGCATAAGTGGAAGTGAGATACGTTCACACCGAGGACACGAAAAGTGCAACCTTGCATCAGCTGAATTGCAAGATTGAAATATTGTTTCTTACTACTGTGAATTTACACTTGTTTTGCGAAACCACACAATTCATGGACTATATTCTGTTGATTAAATCAAAGTCGGGCCACACATTTTCAGTGTCATTTCAAATTGAATATTGAATATTTATTAAATTTCAGTAGTTTTTTACATGATACATTGTTCATTCGATTCATTTAATAAGCGAGAATATACGACTAGTTTGTTAGGTTGACGCTAGCTGATGAAATCCTGTCTCTGGTCTTCTGAAACGTCGCTCTTATCTGCATGTAGCTTAGTGGTTTAGGCATCGCATACTTTAGTTCTGGTATTTCGTATAGAAATGCGCTCTCTGGTTTACTCCTGTTTGTATCTGAGTACCTGGTTGATGAGTCAATCAGATATAAATACATATGTTAGAGGCACCTGGTATTAGCAGTTCAATATAATGCACATAGTCACAAAAAGAAATAAAACGACTGCATGTGTTTCCGTTGAAATTTTCGATTTGGTTCTCTTACACATAATACAAGGAAACTGATTCATTATTCTAGCTATGCCTGTTTTCTTTCTGTTATCAGCTTAAAAGCGATATCCTTATTCATAAATTTGGCTGATTAAATGAGGGGTAGTACAATCTGCTTAGAGGACGTTTGTTAGGCGAAACACGATTGGAAGTTTGCTGATAATATTTGATGGAAATCAGAAAACTGGGATGACGAAACCATAAACGTAAGACCGAGTCAGTGTGATTCATCACTAGAGCAATATCACCTGTAAGTATTAGGTATTCAGTCACAAGATTGTTTGAGCTCACAATCATAGTTTTAGACAAACCATATTATTAGGAAAAATGAGTTACTTGAATAGCTAGTTTGTGTGTCCTCGAATCACCTGAATTCCTTAAACAAATATTGAAAGAATCAAATTTCTGGCACTAATTACTAAGTAACGAATTTTCGTGATAAACTGTTCGGTTTTTCATTGCATAGTTAACAAGAACTACCTTATTACGCTGACAGCCTGATAACTCGAATAATTCAATCAATCGTGATGTAACACGCGCCCAATGACATCAAAATTTACTAATGTCAAACGGCTTGATAGACTTCGGGAAAGTAGAAAAGCATATTCATCAATAGCAAAACGCAGCATTGAAACTGGTCACATTATTGACATCAAAACAGCTTTCAAAATGTTGTGTAGAAATAGTCACATGCGAATTGTGAAGTTTATATTAGCCTTGACTATTTGTTAATTTAATCTGCTTTAATGTGTACGGAAATAATGTTTTGCAACTTCAAATTTAACCTGGTTAAAGTAACGTTACATCATCTTACAATACAGGTGAATGTGATCATTTCCACCTATTCTTCTCCTGCTACGTACATTTTCTCTTTTCTTCAGTGACAATTATCACTCTATTTTGATGTGAAAATTTACCTGAATAATTTTCCTGTACAAAATGCCTTCCGGAATGTGAAAATTCATGCAGTCATAAATAATCGCATCTCATTTGACTTTGTCAGCCATTGGGCGCTTTTATTCATGTGTGTGAATGCCCATCTCACTTGTTACATGTCTGTATTATTCTTGTCTGACTATCGATACCTTGTCATGCATTATCTATTCGAGTTGTCTCACAAGCCTTCTCCACTCTACTTCACTTTATTCGCCGATTCATATACTTGCTTGCATTTGGACGCTCGCATGACGATTTGATGTTTGAGTGCTATCAGTCTATAGTTCGATTTTGTGGTGTGCCAACATACATGCCAACGTACTCAACACTTCGAGTTCACCGTCAGAAGCTATTTAGTAGCGATTGTTTGGACGAGCTAATTACGAAGTCTTGGAACACATTAAATACGAAACTAGTGAAACATCGTCCAGCGCAAAATAAACAAGTTCTTTTAATTCAAAGTATATATTATTTCATGAAACTCTGATTAGAAAGCAAGCAGATAAAATTTTGAATGTTTATAGCATGAATGATATCAATGAAACAAATTGCATTCATTTATTTTTAGAAAGAAAATTAATCGCAGACAAATGAATATTTCAGTTGCATAAGTGTATTTCAGTTGCCCCTTCGATAGATGTTCGGAGACCTTGGACACTTTTCCTATAATACGAAAATTACGTAAAGAAACCAATGGTTAGATTTCTATACATTTCTCATGCATGATTGAATGCATACATTGTGTTGCGATTCTCCGATATTTGACTGAATAGAATTTTCATCGATATTCAGTAAAGCATACTATTCTTCATCAGGTAAGAACTGAGCATATTAATTTCTTTTCGATGACACAGAACATTCATAACATCTTCAGTTTCAATGTGAAGGAGATCAGGAGAGATTTGAACAATGAATATTTTCTATGAGTAGCATATGTAGGAAATCTTCGTTATGGACATGAATTAACACTTGAGAATAAAAAATAAAAAACTGACCTTACACAGTAACGCACAAGGCGGACAGTCTATTGTGGTGTTGTAAAAGTTATTTCCATCATAATGCAGCTGGATTATCCTACTTCCACCGTTCACAGGACAAGAAAAATAATCTTCGAAGAATTTTACTTCAAGACCGTTCTCGTGAGAGCATCGAAACTGAGAAAAGAATAATTCGAATTGATGAGAACAGAATAAGAAATTCGTTTTTGAAACAGAAATTGGAGAAGAATACTTTTACAACTTTACTGTTTCTTATACATTGAAAGACAGTTTATACGCAATGTAACGACTCATGTCGTACACAATGTCTTTCTGTGACTATACATGAACAATTTTTCAAAATATGAGATATATCATTTACTAACTTTGTGACAAGTTGCTCTGGCTGGATAGTTTATTCCATTCGTTCTTTCCCGCGAGTCTGTTTTTGTCATGTAATCACCGGTCAAACCCTGCTGAAAGCAGGCTGAATCGGAACCGAATTCTTCGTAGTATAGGTTTGTTGCGGAATTCTCGGCTATATAATAGACACATTTGTTATTTATGAACATTTTACATCGACGACAATTAAAATATCTCATTTATAGCAATCATAAACTATTATTACATATGATATTTAAACAGCGTGAGGCTTTCATTCAGTGTTTATAGTTGAGATGACTGAATGGTAGATTACGAAACCTTCATGCGCACTTCTGTCTACGTAGTTTGGTAGACCGTTATCACATACAAGGGATGCCGCACAAAACGGGCCAGTCAATTTCACTGCGTGTATCAATAATTTACGGAAATAATCTTACTGATGTAATAATAAGTATCACCGTTCAAGAAAGTTAACGTTTGTTCATCCAATAATTGTGTCTGTGTTATCGAAGCTGAGTGTTCAGCCTATACTGCACGCAAAGTCCAACAACATCGCATCTGACATCTTCGTTGTAATTTTGTATAATCTCTAATGGCTTATATTCTTTAGAATACAATCTCCATGTGGTCATAGCTATCTGGTGCAATAGATGTGTTACAACTAACTTATATATCATGTGAGTAGAGTTGTTCGCATCAGTGACTTGAATAAACATTTCTCACTATGATGGTTTGTCGTACAACCTAATACACTTTGACAATAATCAATGAGGATAATCATCATTTGTGTACACCCATATCTATGTATGTGTACACTCACAAATAATAAATTATATCAACCAACCTTTTTCAGAAGTGCAAACAGCTGCCCTTGTCTATAAGGAAACAATGGTGAATTCTGTATAAGGATTCATTCAGAATATCAACAAGCATTTTCATATTGAATAGTAAAAATCAATAACAAAGTACAAATGTACTGTTATTCGGGGTTTGTTTTTTTAAAATAGAAATCATGTAAAAAGCAGATGATCATAATCATATTCCTGCCACAGATTATTTTTATTTCATTTGACGATTATTAGACAATCAAGTGATACAGGTAAGTATACATGCATATAAATGTGTGAGGACAAGGTGTAAAGAGAAAATACATGAATATGTATTCATTTTGTTAGGTTCTCGTCGGACGCTCACAACGTGTATATTCATTGTCATCATCGTCTTATTGATGACGAATATTCCTAACAGTTATATTCTGCCTTCAGCTTTTACATTAGTCATCCCAACTAGATCAAACATAATTTGAGATGTAGTCAGATTTAAAGGGTAAATACATGGCATGAAATTGAAGCTTGTGAAATGAGGATTGCGTATCGAAATATATCATACGTACTGAGATGTCTAGCATACAGTCTTCCTCTGAATAAAAATTAAACATTAATAATCAGAGTAAATATGATTATGATGGAAAGAAAGAGATAATCGTATACTTATAAATAAGGAATCACGTATTATGTAGAATAACATGAATGAATCCGGTCAGTCACTTACAACGTAGAACTTCCTACCTACGTACATGAGTTCAGATTGCCACAAGCAAATAGACGCAACTGTCAGCTGAGATTCCATAATGGTAGAGGAGGTAGAAGAAGTGGTTGTAGAGAAGAATATTGTGGATCGAATATTTATTTCAAGAATTATAGTGCAGTCGATAATAATTTTTATCGTAAGAGCATATACACGAGAAATTTAAACAAGTATGGAGAGTGAGCAACCATGAGGGACACCACTTGAAGTAAAGAATTTTGATGACAGTTCACCATAAGCTCTAACTTAACCTGTGGTGTTCTTGTAGAGAGCTTGTAAAAGGGTAATGTAAATTTCTAGTACACATTTATTGACATACACTGTTACAGAACCTCACGCTCGAATGCCCGCTGTAATGTCGGACACCGCAATGTGTGTCTGTGTTGCAAGTTCTGTCGTTATGCGAAGTGAGCCGTCCGCAGTAACATACCTATGCAAAAATATACCAACTTACACTGACAACCATGCAATTATCATCGAAACCAGGATATTTTGTTCTGTCCGTAAACGAAAACGATGTATCGATACCACAAACTCCATATTCCCTCAAAGATTGTGAACACATGATTTCACCATCTTTTTCACAGAATGGTGCGATATCTAGTCCTCTAAAAAATAATTTGATAGAAGACTGTTAAATAACCCAAAGGTTTGAATGAATTTCACTACTTCTTCACAAGATGATACAACATTCGTTTTATTTTATAATTTGCGACAATGTTTGACTAGTTTGATTAGTTATCTCACAGAATTAGCACTCATATCTTAAGATGAACGATGACGTATGAAAGATGTACTACTAATACAAATACAAAACTGAAAAGCGATGTGATTTTAAAGAAAACCCTCTTTGTTGAGTCAAATTCTGTCGTTTTCAGACGTCAATAGGATCGTTCCATAGTTTATTGTCAGGAAGTGTCAAATATCTGTGAAGCTGTGCAGTGCAGGGTAGCTTGACCTCAGTAACATAAAGAACGTCACATCAACTATTTTAGTGTTTCAGTTTTAGTGTTTAAATCGTTATCTTTTACCACTGTTTATTTCAACCTCTAAGAATGTGGTTTACTGTAAGATGGAGGTTGAAGTAAGTGAGAAGACACTCTGACCTAACTTTCGTTGTATTTCGCACTGTCCAACAACGTGTTTCAGTCAGCTTGAAGATACTAATGTTTCCTGTTGAATTTGATTTCATGTTATCAATTTTGTTGATCAAATATTTTCGTATGAGCTATTAGGTCCGTATGTGAACTCATGTGACATTGAGATGCATTGTTGATCATTTAGGTGGAACTAATATTTATACATATTTAGAGCAATATATGATACTGGTCGTCCTACATTTTCAGTGATAATACAACGAAGCTTTTCTTCTGTTTTGAGCTGCAACTAAAGGAAATCTCTTATTTCACTTTATTCTTTCGCTGAATATTTAAGTCAAAATTCTAGTTGTGGTAGTGTCTGCAGTTAAAATTGTCTTACTAAAACTTAATTATTCGTTCGAGAAGTCTTATTGAAGATCGTACTTTTAACAGATTTGGGTTGAAATTACACAAACTATCAAGCAGTTAATTAAATGATATTCGAGTAAAGGAATTGTATTCTTGCATTACCTGCTTTTCCGTGATCTAATAAATTCATTACAGCTTTTCATCACAAAGTCACAACCCAGTCCTTTTCCCCATGTGAAGTCTTCGGCCATAGAGAAGTCGACATCGTAAAACCTTAAATAGATTGAAATACATGAAGAACAGTCAGATATAAAATGTAAAATGAAAGTAGGCCTATACTTACTTCATCTCTTGCTTTTCTTTGATTTTGAAAAGCACACATTACAAACTTAGAAAATTATTATCGTTTAAGATAAATACTACAGATGAATTATGACAAAGTGTCGATTCATCCGAAAATGTGTCTTGAAAAAGTTTTCGCTGTAGTAATTTAAATTCGATGAGTAGATAGTGCATCGAATTCGTAAAACCGATCGTATTGTTATTAATTTTGGGAAGGGTTTCACGCATTAACTGATGTCTCCAGTGATTTTTAAAAAGTAACTTATTTATGAGTCAATAAAAATTAGTAGGTATACAACATATTATTGTCAATTTGTTGACTATATTTCTATTGTTTATATTGTTTTAACTGATTGGTTCAGTGGCTTACTATCGTTAATCTACAACAGTTTACAAGGTCGATGAAAGATGATTTATATTTAGTTAAAGTTCAGAATCAAACTTTGAAATATCAGATATGAATCACTGTCAACTACCTATTTTCTGTCATAACGGTTTTGTTGCGAGACAACCTCTAGTTGCAAGTATCAAAGTATACTGATTTCTGATCACGTATTTGTTCGTGTCTTACACCGTGAAGGAATATTTATGGTCGAATGTGAGCAGCTTAATTACTATCATTGTTAATAAGTGAAAATATATATATATTTTTATTGATATATATATATATATATATATATATATATATGTATATATACGCACAACTTACGTTGTGTCCTTGAAGAAAGCTAGAGTGATTCTAGAAACAGGACTTTTACCTCGACTGGAATACGTCATCGCTTCGTTCTGAAAATTTCATAGTTTGTATAAAAAGCATTATCGAATAATCCACATATTTTAAAGTGTTTTAAATTATTATTCTTAGTTAACATAGATTGTTTGTTATTATTATCCAGTCTTTATATGCAATTTTCGCTTGCTTTGTGATGCTTATAATAATTTTGAAAAATCACGTCATTACCTTGACATTCAACATATTTTGTCGAAAAATAATTGGTTTATTTCGCTGAAAAGAACTCTGTATATGTAAACGTGTTAGAGGCTTATCCAGTCACAATTATTTGTGCATACTAGAATCCAATGTCCCAGTATTCATTTATATATTATTAATCTTTTCTCAGTATGTCCCTATTGTAAATACTACTTCTAATAAACTGAATCATTAAGTCATGCAATACATGCTATTGCGTGACATCATGTGATTGCAGAATTATTATACATGAGTTTTATTCTAAATGCTTTAGGCAATGATGAACGTATGATTGAGAACTACTTACTCCCATGATTCTATGACTTAGATGGCCATTCTGTATTTCGATTGAATCCAGTTTATTGCATCCGAAATGGTTTCTTGCTTCTTCCTTTAGTGAAAAGATATCATCGATTGACATCAAATACATTCATAGGTACTTTAAGTATAGTGTTTTAGTAGCACAGGATTCGAAACTAATTTGAACCAATAATTTCACGTTCAATGAAACAAGTATAATAAACTATGTCTGATTGTTACACTTTGTGTAACTCAGCTAGAAGTTGAAAAAACCGTTTGTTTATTTATTTCATATAATGAGGATAAGTGATGCAATGTTTAATTGTGTAGAGGAATAAAGGTGATTCAATTCAATGGGATGTACGATGATGAAGTTATCATAGTCCAACAAAATTATCTGAACATGTGATAAGCGGAGAATGAGCTACGCACAAATTAACTGCATTCATCCTGGTAGGATCCATAGAACATATGTAACGGATCAACATTTTCCAATCTCTCAGACTTGACTTTCACAGCAAATTGAACGAAATTCATGAATTGGTTTAGTGCATGGTCTTTTGTATGGGAATAGCTTGATTTTTCTTTGTGCATGCTGTAACCCATTCGAAGCAAAGACCGCTGTTACCGAGCGGTATTTATCGGCATTAGTTTCTATGAGTGAGCGTGAATGGTCATATCGTCCATCTGTATCATAGACGAATACAGTATTATGTGAAGTGTGAGGAGAACATTTTCTTTAGCTCATGTTTGAAAATAGTTTGTGTACAAACATATGAAGAAGTACAATTAATCTTTTGCAATGGAATTCGTTATATTATTTTCAGTGATGAGCACTGGAGGTGGATAGAAAATACATTGCGGTAAGCATCTAACTCTATGACAAGGCAAGAATCAAGTACAAACCTCGAAATCAAATGAAAAGCGCAGGGCCAAGAAACACATTAACTTGAGAAAAGGAGATAGACACAAGAAGAATGAACAAACATTATGCAGAACTGTGAAGGCTAACCCAGCACACAGAAGTGGAAAAATGGTTGTTGGCTCCCTATGATTCAGTGGCAGAAACAGTTGCAAATAAGTAGGTGAGTCAATAGATTTGAATGAAACAATCGCAAATAAAACTTCTAACCTGATCATGCCACTACGTTACAGACAACTTATTGAATCAAACAAAATATTCTAGTCAATGAAATCGTAAATAGCCAAATTATTGAGGTATTCAGTACTTTGAAATTCATCTCAAAATGAAACAATTTAAAGCAATAATATAGCGCGATATTGGATGGCGGATTTGTTTCACAAATTTGAGTGTAATCGTTTATTCATTTCAAAAAAATAACAGTCTCAACTTATGAAAATGGAATAACAATGTGACTTACAAGCATGTGAGGCAAAGCAAGCGCATTAACTTCTCTAGATTGGTAGCTTAAAAAATGTTAATCATAAACTTGGATTTAATTGAACAGATTCAAACGATTTATCTAAAAGGAAAACACCTAAATACTGTGGTTCAATATCCCATTTATTTGTTGAAATAAGTATGATACTTAATAGGTCATCGAAGGATCGAAATGTTTCAGTGACATGTAAAGAAATAAGTAACCGAGATTATTCAAGTCACATTTAAAAAAACAATATAAGGAAACAAAACATAATATCTTTAGTTGAACTACAAATATAATAGGTATGAACGTCACATCGATTTCGGTCAAGGTGTTGTGATGCAGATTAACACTTCACTGTGATATTTGTTTGTGTGATGGAGATAAGAAAAATACTTACATTCTGAAATGTAGTTGAGTTGAAAAAATACTAATTGTGAAATTTGAGTTTGTGTATGATAGTATGGTATTGTTGAGAATATCGTTCACTTTTATTGTTGATATCATTCACAGAATTACTAGTTTTAAGTGATAATAAGGTGGTGTACTTGTGCACTTAGTGTTCGTTGGCAAGTGTCTAGAACGCATCGACGACGATAGAGATAAGTTGGTATACACAGTTTTGCATGGATGTACACAGATTCGTGTTATTTTAACTAATGTGTCTTGTAGACTGTACGTACTTTGAAGTAGAGGATTGATAATTAATTCTTCTAGTAATACTATTGATTTACTCGATAATATTTAGATACCATAACCTAGGTTATTCAGTTCAAAATGTACTGTCAAGGAACAATGGAATGAACAAAACTTACAATACTTAGGAATAATGGAGAGAATGTTTGACGACTAGAACACTTACTCTTTAGTGATAACGATCTTCTTACTAATATCTTCATAACGACTGAATAAATTTTTAATGAATCCCTTACGAAAAAAAATAGCGAAACAATCATTTATTCGTTATGTGCAATTATGTTTATTGTTTAAGTTTCATTTTTTGAGCTGGATAGCTGTTTTCACATGAAAATTCCATCATCCATTTATAAACTTCAATTTCATTGTGAGCTTGTGAAAGAGATAAGTTGTTATTTAACTTTATAGAAAGTTCAAGTTTAGTGATAAAAAATAATAGTGGTACTTTTAGATGGACACTAAAACATTCAATATGTAATCAAACAGATCACAGAATCCAACACTGTCAAATTATTAGTTGATTGCAGCCTAATATACATTGATTTTCAAGTTTCTTTGGTGACTATTCATAAAGCTCATTTATCATGTTCGAAAATGCATGAAAAAAGTGAACTTCCCTACAATGGAACTACCGATGGTTGTATTTTCGAAAATCTCCTTTTTGTGTGCAAGAGAGCGATTTCCCTGTCAGTTATCACTGGCTTGTGTCAGTGATTGACATTCATTTAACATATAAAGCTATCGAAGATTGTCGCGCATGGTCGAATTTTAAATGACGCTGGCAATGTGGTCTACAATTTATGCGTTCACTGGCGAAACATGAAGTCTTATATTTGATTTTGCATGTAAGATTAGCGAACGATCAGTCTCACACTTCGAGCAAATAACCAGCCTGTCGTTTGAGTCTTCAAATAATGATCTTAGATTGTACCGTGATTTGAATGTGAATTTCTTAACCACATAACATACAGTCAACTTAAATATAGAATGTAAATATTTTATAAACTCATTCCAAGTCAAGTAAACATACTGGGTTAACAAAGTCATAATATTTTGTATAATCCATGAAGAAATTGCTTCAATGTGAATTTATTTACAGGTTCAGAAACGCTTGCAACCATCAACTTACTAATACATGGGCTATTTCATGTTTTGTCGTAGCTTCTACTTCATCTTTCTCTGTCATGATAAGTTCATTCGCCGTTTTACAATAATTTACTATACCTATGATGGGCCTAAATATATGGATCAAAATAAACACATCAGTTTCATTTTTAAAATGCATTTTGAAATTATACATCATAGTTTATGTTGGCTCTAGTATTCAGTGTTTGTCATGAAATAATATCACAAAATAATTTTAAAAGTTTATTGCTGAACTCTATAACGGAATATGTTCGGTAACGTAGTAAACGTGTGTATAAACAAAATTTGACTCAACATCTTTGATCTTATTTCGAATGATAGAACTCACAAATATTCTAGATGAAGTTTCAGTCAAAGAAATGTGAAAAATTTCTATTCTGTTGAAATAATCTAAATGAAATTGATGACTTTTAAATGTTCATACAGCATTGAGACTTATTCTGACCTCTGACCTATCGTAATTATTTGAAATAAAAGTCAGTGTGTAACGAAGTGAGAAAAAATTATGCTCAGGCGAAAAGAGACAATGAACAAAAATAAATCACCAGTAGAATTCAAGTCAAGTAAACAACAACACTCAACTTGGCACGTACGTACATCAGTTGAACTTGTCAATTTACATAAGCACAGAGATGCAGTTGTCAGTTCTTATGACATAGTGGTAGACATAGTTGAAGTTTTCACAGTAATGGGTAAAATGAGCGTTCGAAGTATGAATCAGTGATATAACTTTAGAAAAAGAAAGACAGAGATGATGAGGAGTTCAGAAGGTTGAAAACTCATAGAACACAATGAGTGAGAGAACCTGCGCCATTTCAATTGGTTTTGAGACATGTTATTCTGGGGCTACAACTATCAATTACTATCACCTCACAGGCAACAACCAGATAGTCGACAACCTTCAACAGGGCTCAGTCAAATGACCTCAATGACTTCACTGATTTGTGCCTTCTTAAGGCCTTACCGCTCCTAACATTCTTACAACATTCATCCATTGATCTGCCCTCCCGTTTCCTAAAGATACCATTGCTTACCTGCTTGTTCAGTATTAAAGTGAAATACTGAACAATAATTCACACTTGAAAAATTAGATGAGCAATTTACTGAAGGGATATATATATATATACTGAATGAAAATAGTGTACCTCTGTGATTCCGGGTCCCTGATGCAAAAGCCACCCCATGCAAATGTATTTACGTCGCATTCATGAGAAATGTTATGCTTCACAAGTATTATCAACTCGTTTGGCGCTATTCCTTCTCCATCCTCATACTCCTGCCAAGTTTCAGCATATTTACGATGATAACATCCCTGAAAATTTTGAAATGAAACAAAATCTAACATTTAATTTTAGATCATTCAGTGTTGTCTATCAACGTCATCATTGATTTTACTGCTTTTGTGTCCAAATTTGTCAACCTATTCCGTTTCTGAGGCAAAATTATTATGAATAGAAATGTTGTTCATTTATTAAATTTTAGAAATTTCTCACAATATATGCAAAAATCATATATACATCGATCATTAATTCAGTTTTATTTTATTTCCGTTTCCTACGATAGTATTAATTGAAATGCTGTATTGTTATATCACAACAAATGCACATTTGCTTCTTCTAAAAAAAATTAGGAATGGATCATTTTTCTATCACTGTGATGAATTTGGAATCATCATCTGAGTTCCCTCACGACTATGAGAGTAAGAATAGAATTCAGGACATCGGCCCTTGCGTGTGAATACTTAAAGTTTACAGTGACGAGTCAGGTTTCGTCAGTGTAAATGATTACCAGCCACCTCACAATGCTGTGAGCACTGATTCACACTCGACACGGCTGAAAAGTACTATCCAAGTTTTCTCATCAGAATTTAACGCCCTTTGACTTTAACTTACAAACAAGCTCAAAACTGACATGCAGTGCTTTCAGGTGGTCTAACGTTGATGGAATATTGACTAAAGTGTTGTTAAACCATCTAGCCTAGGTACTCTCAGCTGAACTATATATCTTTTGCATGTTAAAATCATAATGAATTTATTTTATTTGTGATAAACAAATTTAGTCTTATTCAGTCTTTTCCTGAAAAACTGAATATCTGAAGAAAGTTTTGAAAGTGTTCTGTTACTCACAAGAACTATACATGACTATAGTCAACAATTTACTGGTAACTTGATACAAGCCGCTTCAGAACAACAATCAGAATGTACAGCATCAGGGATAAATGAAAGTAAAATCTTATTCAAATTTAAAGACTGTTGATTTAAAAGCATCCATTATTCATAAGTCTCGATTAGAAAAACAATTTCAAACCGTTGGTTCAAGTTTTACAAGTCTCTGATCTCAACTAATTTGAGAGTACTAATTAGTAGTAGCAACAAATAATTCAAAATAACCATAAATGAAGTCACTTAGTATATATAAATTCCTGTTCTCCACATTCACTTACCTTCATATACTTATCAGGAATAAGTAGACCACCACATTCTAAATGACTTTTACAATGTACCCGATGACAGTACGGTCTATCTTTATTAATAGACGTGTATTTCGGTTGATCCTCTTCACAATGTCTAAAATATCAATCAATCCATTATAACAAAATCAAACTATTTGAATTGTTTGGATTTATAAATAAACGACTAACATTATTTTGCATTAACAAAATATACATTGTCACCTTTAGTAATACATTTATGTTTAAAATTAAAATTAAAATAAACACAGGGTTGGACTCCACTGTTGGTCACTCCTTCTACTCAAAGGTCCAAGAATTTCCACAGGAAGCTGGTCACTACTTTTGGAGCACATTTCACGATATTTTTAATTGAAGTTCATGGAGATTAGTTTATTTTTGCACATTTTGAAACCATCAGTTGCTTGTTTGTATTTTTGTTTTCAATCTATCGTTAGACGTTGAAAATGGAACGCATGTAGAAATAGGTCAGATGAATTAAGTCATGCAAAACTAGCCGACATTAAGATGATTAGTCTACGATTTTACAATAAAAAGTGGAAAATGATGTACCGGCCATGTACTTCACTTAACCGATATTATTATCAATACTAAAAACACTAACTGAACCATAATTTTCATTATTTTCAAATTATTTCAATACACATTATCAACATTGGTTACAAAGATGACACATTTATAATTTTACCTTTCAACAAACATATTCTGCTTGGCATTTGTCTTAACAATCAACGCTTTCTCCCAATATCTGGAAGCACTTTCAATTGCTGTCTGTTGTGGCATAAATTTGAATGTACAACATGAATTAGTTATGCAATTAGTGCTAGAAATGTATACTTGACAAAAACCCAAACTATATTTATTCATTTCAGATTATGGACTAATTGCCAACTATTGATAAGTCTTCCTAAACACATGTGCATTCTGCGCAGATCACTTCAGTATTTAAATATATATACGCTATGATCACTACTATTTTGTCAAGAATTTCCAAAACATGCTTGATCGAGCCATCGCAGTAAGACTGAGAGTTCGATGTTTATTACAAAATAATGTCAAAAAATGAAAAGTATGATTACCAATACTTTTATGTTGCCTTACAAACTTTACTCTTTTGACTGATATTTCAGTTTCAATGTATAGGTATCAACCTACTTAATTCAACTTCTCGTCTATCAACATCATGTAACACATGAGACAAACCTATTTTTTTCTTCATATCTGTACTTCTTCATTTGTTGGCTATATTACTAAAATTTACTTTAATTTTAGTTGTCACCATGAATTTGAACTTGACTTACTAACGGTATTGTCTACTTCATCAAGACACGTTACACAGTACATTGGTTATGTACATATATCCATTTACAGTTGCTTATTTGCTGCCTTTATTCCTCCTTCTTTCTTCCCTTCTCAGGACCCTATTATTGTTGGAACATCCATGGTGCATGGTTTGTGCGGTTGCCTAGGCAAAAGCCTGTATAAAGCACTTTCCGATCGACACTTTTCAACAAACAAACTACTGCATCGTGCTAACCAGCCAAGACGTTTACTGTTTGCATAATCATTTTGTGCCCCCCAAATGAAAATATGACTGTTTGAAACTGTTCAAGTCAGCGATGTGATGTAAATATGCTGTCTGAGACAGACTCGTATTTTTAACCTAACTTCATTGATCTTTCACGGTTAATGTGAAAGCATTTGTAACTATTTGACTTAGCCTGTAAACCGGCATGCCTCGTGTAACATGCTGATATAGGAGAATGAAAAACAATAATAATATTAATAATAATAATAGTAATAATACCTTCAGGTTAGAAGTTTAATAAAAGATAAATATAGTGGTAAAAACGAAAAATGCGCCTTCGATTTAACTACTATCCTCTATCGATGTCTGCTGATAATGTTCATAACGTAGTGATAGTACCGGAAAACTCCTCACACGATGCAAGTATGCTAAAAGAACTGATCAACTGCATAACCTAAAATCACTTTGAGTATTCAGACAAGATGTTACTCGTGTGATGGAACGAATTATGATGTATATTGTAAGGAAGTATCATTTGAAGATAGGAGTACGCTTCATATCGTACAATAAAGAATGAATGATTAGTAAAAGATATTGTTATTTGAAATACGAGAAACATCTTTTGACGAAAATTCTCCCATCATACATTATTTAGGTTATTTATATTACAAATGATCTCGATCAATCACCAAAGATGATCAGAATATGGCAACATATGGAGGGGTTGAGATTCTAAAACTGATCATTCCACGGTTATAGCTGACACGTAACGAGGATAAAGAGCGCTATTCCAGCATAGAATTTACGGAAACCCAACACACACAAAAATTCAAGGTTTAGAAACACTAACAACTCCGCCAGTAGAAACTTCAGTGCTACTGCCGGTCCCAAGCCCGGGTAAAGTAGGAGGGTTAGACATGGGGTCGGCGACCCCATTCCGTCGAAAACTAACTTGCCAAAAGAACGGTAACCAGAAAAATTATTTCAAACAATTCTAACTCTGCCATGTGAGTTGGAGGAAGAATTATGACGTCTCGTGATGAAAGCCGAGTTCCCTCGGAAGTCACGGACCCGATGCCTCTTCTGACAACCAGAGCAACCATTTTTTTAGGTACATGGAACGTTCGTACATTGTGGGAGACTGGAAGACTATTTCAAGTTGCGGCAGAAATGAAAAGATACAACCTCGAGGTGCTTGGAATCAGTGAAACGCATTGGACACAGGTAGGACAACTGAGACTAGCTTCAGGGGAACTGCTGTTATACTCTGGTCATGTAGAGGAAAATGCTTCACATACACAAGGAGTTGCACTGATGCTATCCGAACATGAACAAAAGGAACTGATAGGATGGGAATCTCATGGACACGGGATCATTAAAGCATCTTTCAAATTAAAGAAACAGGTTAATACAATGAACGTCATCCAATGTTATACACCTATCAATGACTACAATGACGACGTTAAAGATCGATTCTACAAAAGGCTGCAGTCAATCGTCGAGAAATGTTCACCAAAGGATTTGACGATTCTCATGGGAGAGTTGAATGCCAAGGTTGGAATGGACAACACTGGATATGAAGACATCATGGGACGACATGGACTGGGAGAAATGAACGAAAACGGTGAGAGATTTTCAAACCTATGTGCCTTCAACAGACTGGTCATCGGTGGCACAATATTCCCGCACAAACGCATACACAAAGCTACATGAATTTCACCGGACCACACTACTCAAAACCAGATTCATCATATCTGTATAAACAAAACGTTCAGAAGGACTATGGAGGATGTGAGAACCAGGAGAGGAGCTGATGTAGCCTCAGATCACCATTTGCTGTTCTCCAAAATGAAAATGAAGCTAAAGAAGCACTGGACAGCGGGACAGACAGCACCAAACAGGTTTATTACGGCCTTTCTTCGGGATACTGTAAAGCTCAACGAATTCAAGATAGGCCTCACCAATAGGTTCCAGTCCTTTCAGGATCTACTCGATGGAGAGGACACAACATTGGAGAACAATTGGAAAGGGATTAAGGAGGCAATCACTTCAACATGTCACGAGGTTCTGGGTCACAAGAAGTACCATCACAAGGAATGGATCTCTGTTGATACTCTCACTCAAATTGAAGAAAGGAGGAACAAGAAGGCAGCAATCAGTCAATCACCAGAACAAGAGCAGAGATAGTTAAGGCATAAGCTGAAAACAAAAAAGCAAACAGGGAAGTGAAGAAGAGCATCAGAGCTGACAAACGAAAATATGTGGAAGATCTAGCAATGACGGCGGAAAAGGCTGCAAGAGAAGGAAACATGAGACAAATTTTACGAAACGACGAATAAGCTGGCCGGAAACTATCGTAAACCAGAACGATCAGTGAAAAGTAAGGAAGGCAAAGTAATCAGCAACACTAAACAACAGCGAAATAGGTGGGTCGAGCAATTTAAAGAACTACTGAATCGACCAGCTCCACTGAACACACCCAACATCGAAGCAGCATCCAAGGACCTCCCAATTAATATTGGCGCACCTACGATTGAGGAGATCAGTATGGCCATCAGACAAATCAAGAGCGGCAAAGCAGCAGGACCAGACAACTTTCCAGCAGAGGCAATGAAAGCAGATGTAGAAGCAACTGCGAAAATATTTCACATCCTCTTCAAGAAGATTTGGGATGAGGAACAAGTACTATCAGATTGGAAAGAAGGATACCTGATCAAAATACCAAAGAAAGGCGATCTGATCAAGTGTCAGAACTACAGAGGCATCACTCTTCTTTCAATACCAGGCAAAGTCTTCAACAGGGTATCGTTAAACAGAATGAAGGACTTCGCAGACGTCCAACTTCGAGATCAACAGACCCGATTTCGTGAGAATCGATCGTGTACTGACCGAACAACTACATTACGGATCATTGTGGAACAATCAATTGAATGGAACTCACCACTCTACATCAACTTCATCGACTACGAGAAAGCATTCGATAGTGTGGATAGGAAAACACTGTGGAGTGTTCTTCGACACTACGGTGTGCCTGAGAAAACAGTCAACAGCATACGGAATTCTTATGATGGATTCAACTGCAAAATCGTACACGAAGGACAGCTAACAGACTCTTTTGAGGTGAAGACCGGTGTCAGGAAAGGTTGCTTACTCTCACCCTTTTTCTTTCTTCTGGTGATCGACTGGATTATGTAAACGTCAACATCTGGAGGGAAGCACGGTATCAACTGGACAGTTATGACGCAGCTGGACAATCCGGACTTTGCAGATGACCTGGCTCTTCTATCGCACACTCAACAACAAATGCAAGAGAAGACGACCAGTGTAGCAGTAGCCTCTGCAGCAGTAGGACTCAACATACATAAAGGAAAAGGCGAAATTCTTCGATGCAACACAACATGCACAAACCAAATCACTCTTGATGGAGATGCCATGGAGGACGTTACCACCTTTACATATCTGGGCAGTATCATCGACAACCAAGGTGGATCAGATGCAGATGTGAGGGCACGGATTGGCAAAGCAAGGGCTGCATTTTTACAGTTGAAAAATATCTGGAACTCCAAACAACTTTCAATCAAAACCAAAATCAGGATATTCAATACAAATGTCAAGACAGTTCCACTGTATGGAGCGTAAACATGGAGAACTACGAAAGCCATCATCCAGAAAATACAAGTGTTTATTAACAGTTGTCTTTGCAAAATACTTCGTATTCGTTGGCCAGACACCATCAGCAACAACGAACTGTGGGAGAGAACGAGTCAGATTCCAGTGGAGGAGGAAATCGGGAAGAAGCGTTGGAAGTGGATATGACACACACTACGAAATGCACCTAAATGCATCACGAGACAAGCCCTCACATGGAACCTTCGAGGCAAAAGGAAAAGAGGAAGGTCAAGTAATACGTTACGCCGAGAAATAGAGAAAGATATCAGAGGAATGAACGAACATTGGACAGAATTGGAGAGCGAATCCCAGGACTGAGTCGGTTGGAGAAAACTGGTGGGCAGCCTATGCTCCATTGGGGGTAACAGGCGTAAGTAAGTAAGCAAGTAAGTAAGTAAGTATGTGTGTAAGAAACACTAAAATCATTCTAACTGATTAGCTACCACCGTAAGAGTAGAAAAAGTCTTCTTCCGTCAGAACTAATGACAGCTAACTGCGATGATCGAAATTCACCAGTATTGATGTGACTGATGGTGTTCTGAAAACCTAAACTACAATGTGACAAACCAGAATGATCATATGAGCAGTTGTATAGATGAAAAGGTGAAGCTTTAGAGGGCTCGTATTTAGCGAAAATTAGCACTGACAAAATGCATGAAAATACCGCTTTCTGAAGTAAAACAAAAAGCGAGAATCGGTCATTAATCGCCTGCGTCAAAAGTCATTGATGCACACTTCTATTTTACGAATAATGGCGAATGCAGATGAAGAAGGCTAGTGTCACAGCTGTCTTTGTATCGGTTAGTCCTCACATGCACAAATGGAAAAATAGTTTGCTGTATGTACCTGAAATCGAGAGAACGGCAAAACACGCAGGTGTTCAAAAACACTTATGTTCGCTAGATACTCCGGGTCAGCTGACTGTTCACTATCGAAAATATCGTTCTATGGCAGAGAATGAATAAACTTGTGTTCGCAAATCCGGAAAAAATGATGTAGGCGATCAGGACCCACTGCTGAATTGGAAGCATGAAATACTGAAGGGCAAAACAAAAGTGGAAGACCGAAGAACACACTTGGCTTAGGTCTGGTGATGGGTAATGATCGATGAAACCAGGAAATGAAACAGGTGGTAGTCGAAGATCATCACTATCCAAAAATCGATAGCTCTTCCTATGTATGTGAGCTCGGTGCATAAACTGCCAATAGTCTGAGTCTAAAATAGTGCTTAGCATAATTATCGTGAAGTCAGTACGAATTATGTCAGATTGCAAACTGAAGTGAACTATATTATTTTGCGAAGTCATATTCATGCATATGGATAGAGTATCAAAAATTCAGAGTGATTACTGTCCTAACTGTGATTCGCTTTTCGGCTGTGGCAACTTACTCAGCAGATCGTTTGTCATGTGAGTAGTGAAGAAACACACCTTGATTATATATATATATATATATATATATATATATATATATATATATATATATATATATATCAAGAGTTTAGATCCGACAAGGGTAGTCAGAATAAAAATTGTACTGTACTGCACTGTACTGTTTATATCCTGCCATCGCTATAGTGATGCTAATTTCATTCTTAACAAAATATTAACCTTTATGCTTTTTCTCTGTCATCATATTGTTCATTTAAAACAAGTCAGAAGAATAATGAATCTTTGAATGTTAAAAATCATATTAAGATTAGCATGCATTGAATGAATAATATTTGCCATTATTCGTCATTCAATTTCGATTAAGATTAGGAACTAACCACGATTTGTGCAGCAGCATCACTATTAATGACTGTTCTGTCATAATATGTGGTAATTTTCAAATGTTGCCGACCAAAATAGCGTTTATTTATGGAACCAGAGTGAACACCAAAACTCTGAAAAAAAATTAGAAAATAAAAACAAACTGAAAACGTACCGGTTCCTCCAATTTAGGAAGTCGACAAACGTGTTCAGAATTATTGCCGAACAATAGAAATATGATACAAAATATTGCTGCGATCAGTTTCATTATGAAAATCAGAAACAAAATTAATATGCAGCAGAAGTGTATATATAGTGTTATTAGAAAGGGGGGATCTGATCAAAGTTTCTGTACTGTTCACTGGTTCGCAATTTTCCCATGACCTCATTACTATTATTCTCTCATCAAACGAAACGAGAACAAAGTAAACTGAGTGTGAGCATAAGTGGAAGTGAGATACGTTCACACCGAGGACACGGAAAGTGCAACCTTGCCTCAGTTGAATCGCAAGATTGAAATATTGTTTCTTACTACTGTGAATTTACACTTGTTTTGCGAAACCACACAATTCATGGACTATAATCTGTTGATTAAATCAAAGTCGGGCCACACATTTTCAGTGTCATTTCAAATTAATTATTGCGTTAACTGTCAAACGAAGCTTTTTAACACTGACATCCTTTTTTGTCGAGATTCCGAATTCCTTATCACTAATGGTAGTCGAAAATCTCTGGTTGTTGAAATCTGACATGTCAATTATTTCGCATTTTGCTGAATGTAGCTGAGAATGTCTCTCGCTACTGACAAGGAAATTGTTGACGATTAATAATATTCTCATGATATCGACTTCACATTCTAGGTTAAGTCAACTTCTCTACCTACTACATGTTTGTAGAACTTCTTAATGAAGCTCGCGGTTGCGCTGATTCATCTGTACGCGTGAACTGGCAGATTAGACGCACTTCACTGTCCTGACTTTCACAATGCCAAGACGTCATTAAGCAAGATGCACCGACTGTACGCGCTTATGTTTGTATTAGACGCATTCTAACTGACTTTTATGCAAGAATTCATTACACTTGTGGGCACGTCACGCAGAAACCGTACTGTTTGACTACCTGAATTGTCCTCAATATTTATAATATTGGTGGAACCTGACAGCTATCTATACGGAATAAAATTGTCAGAAAAAGACATGTTGTATTTATGTGAAATCGATCAGGCCGACATGACTTTTTTTATGACTTTTTCTGTTGACATTTTTGGTATTTTATTTGATTCCAATTTGAGATTTTTATCATTGTATATTGTTATTATTTCTATATTTTGTACTTATATTGAAGTTTTTGTGTTTTCTTCTGATCTGTATATATGTTGTTTAAATTTGATCTTTAATATGGCTACAGTCATATTTGGAATGATCCGGTAGCAGTTGGACTTAACGTCACTTATTCATCTTTGTTGTTTACTCTTCGGAGTAATTGTAACCTGGAAGGTGTATTGATTCCAGGTACTGCTTTGTATTTCCATGTTTTTATTGATAAAGACACTTTCTCCTAGAATTTTTGCTTTATCGGGACCTTGGACTGGGAGAAACGAGTTCAGGAGTGCACCTATTGGAACCCACTGGAACGGCCACCGTAGAAATCCATTTACATATTCTCATGTGACAATGATCTCATTGAGCTGATGCTTTCATATTTCAAACATTTTCCTTAAAAATCTCTGATAATAGGAATTTATGAACGCTTCTCGAAGCTGTACTCGTTTGGTGGATATTTTTCAGCTAACGGTCAGTGCTGTTGAAATTCAGGAAAGCATCGCTCTTTCGCATATTTCTTTTGTGGTGTTTGATGGTGACTACTAAGCACTAATTTTGCTAGTAGATATACATCATTTCATCATTAATAGCCTATTCGAAATTCTTTGTAGCTACAATCAATATCTTTTTATTGGACATTTGATTTGAGTTTATGGAAGTCGCTATCTATGTATCTAATGAGAAACGGTCATGGATAAGTAATTTTCGTGGAAATTGTGATTATCTCGACCAACATTTCATGTTTAGCTCCGCCAGTAGAACCTTCGGTGCTACTGCCGGTCCCAAGCCCGGGTAAAGTAGGAGGGTTGGACATGGGGTCGGCGACCACATTCCGTCGAAAACTAACTTACCAAAAAAACGCTAACCAGAAAAATTATTTCAAACAATTTTAACTCTGCCCTGGGAGTTGGAGGATGAATTATGACGTCGCATGTTAAAAGCCGAGTTCCCTCGGAAGTCAAGGGGCCGATGCCTCTTCTGACAACCAGAGAAACCATTTATTTAGGTACATGGAACGTTCGTACATTGTGGGAGACTGGAAGACTATTTCAAGTTGCGGCAGAAATGAAAAGATACAACCTCGAGGTGCTTGGAATCAGTGAAACACATTGGACACAGGTAGGACAACTGAGACTAGCTTCGGGAGAAATGCTGTTATACTCTGATCATGAAGAAGAAATGCTTCACAAACACAACGAGTTGCACTGTCTATACTAGTGTCTGTAATGGCAAATTCATACTACTCCTGAAACGTGCATTCTGGTTTTATGACGAGACAGTTGAAAATATTTCAACATTTGTAGAGCTCTTCACAACGATTGATTAGTAAAAATGTGTTGGGAAAATCCATGGCTGTGATTGGCTGCTGTGTATTTTAGTATGCTTTTTTCTTAACTGTCTCAAGGACGTTCTTATGTTGTATAAATAAACGAGAGTTGTATGCTTGATTGTACTGTGATTGCTGGGTGTTTGTAAAATATACTTCTACGCTTACAAAGTCTTTTCACTTCAGCCTCGGATTCAGGGTAGCCTCCCTGGAAGCTGGTAAAAGTCTCGTTCGCGTTTATCGACTAAGGTAAACTCGTAATAGCCTCAAGCATACTAAGTGACGAACTTATCAAAATCTGACTGCATAACAAGTCCTGAATGAAGGCGTGGTGAAACCACGTTGCTAGATTTTGATAATTATATACGGTGTGGTAGAATGTACGACACAGATTGAAATTCGAGAATTTCATGTTATTTTTAAACAGTACAGAAAGACGCCAGTATGACTGCCTAATCTGGATCGCGGAATTTGATTTGTGTTGATCCGACGTTGTGGTGTGCTGAACTGGAGTATCATTTTACAAAGCACTGCACAAAATCTGGAGGAATTTGATAACCAAAACGATGCTCCCCGACCCTGATCCAGTTGACCGAATCCTCCGTCACATAATTTTGACTCTTCACACAACACAGCCAAACATCCTTGAAAGGTGTGTGATGATGAATCACCCATCCTTATTTGACGGTCAGAGAGTTCAAGGGCTTTATAAAGAGGACATAAAAATTGATGACTCTTCACGGCGAATCCCCCTCCGACTCAACATCACACTTAAAGACGAGACCGACGGAGAAGCTTTCGTCAAACATGGATGGCTGGCACGACCAACACTGCTTCATTGGGAATTTTTGAAGATAAAGCATGTTTTGTGGCTGCGCAGTGTCTATGTGTTACTTAAATCAAGTGTGAATATGATAAATGTTTCTGTACTCTACACTGGTTTGCAATTTTCCCATGACCTCATTATCATTATTCTCTCATCAAACGAAACGAGAACAAAGTGAACTGAGAGTAAGCATAAGTGGGAGTGAGATACGTTCACACCGAGGACACGGAAAGTGCAACCTTGCCTCAGTTGAATCGCAAGATTGAAATATTGTTTCTTACTACTGTGAATTTACACTTCTTTTGCGAAACCACACAATTCATGGACTATATTCTGTTGATTAAATCAAAGCCAGGCTACACATTTTTCAGTGTCATTTCAAATTAATTATTGCGTTAACTGTCAAACGAATCTTTTTAACACTGACATCCTTTCTTGTCGAGATTCCGAATTCCTTATCACTAATGGTAGTCGAAAATCTCTGGTTGTTGAAATCTGACATGTCAATTATTTTGCATTTTGCTGAATGTAGCTGAGAATGTCTCTCGCTACTGACAAAGAAATTGTTGACGATTAGTAATATTCTCATCTCAGTACCATCAACTAGCATCTTAGCAATTTTCAGTCGTTCCTTATCACTGAAACGTATAATGAACATCCTAAACTTCTCATTGTTTTATGAAAATTCATGAAGTCAATAAAAATAATCTATATATTCATTTGGTTCATAATAAAATGCTAGATCATTTATCATTTCAATTGATGTAATCGATTGTTACAATCATGAAGTCATTTCGAAGATATTGAAAATGCTTATTATCTACATTACTATTATTCCTAGATTTTATATATATACACATCAACATATGATTATAATTTTCAAATTGATAATATCTTTCTTACTTATGTAACCGGTGTAAGATTTCAAAAGTTAAGGCAAATGTTTACACCTGTTTCAATTAGTAATTCGATAACATAAGTAGCCTACTACTCATTTCACCAATACTATTTGTATTTTATTGATTTATTGATTTATGTACATCATATTAATGTTATTTTTGTAATCTGCATCTCCAAAACATATTACATAATGCTTATTCATCTTCCATAAATGTATCGACTCTTTGAAAAATGAGCATATAATCATTTTGTAATCGATGTGCAAATCTCTTTTCATTTTTTGGCTTAAATATAAATATCATAGCAAACGGATCAAGTAACAACAATATGAGATGTTGAGTTGTAATGGGTCATTTATTGTTCAGATCACATGACTTGACCCACTTGTCATTTGACCTTATCAACCATTCGGCGCTTTTATTCATGTGTGTGAATGCCCATCTCGCTTGTTACATGTCTGTCTTATTCTTGTCTGAATGTCGATTACATATCATGCTTAATATATTCGAGTTTTCTCACGAGCCTTCTCCACTCCACTTCACTTTATTCGCGATTCATTTACTTGCTTGCTTTCGGACGCTCGCATGACGATTTGATGTTTGAGTGCTATAAGTCTATAGTTCGATTTTGTGGTGTGCCCACATACATGCCAACGTACTCAACACTACCACTTCACCGTCAGACGCTTTTTAGTAGCGATTGTCTGGACGAGCGAATTACGAAGTCTTAGAACACGTTGAATACCGACAGTCACAAAACTAGTGAAACATCGTCCAGAGCAAACTAAACAAGTTCTATTTATTCAAAGTATATATTACTTTATGAAACTCTGATTAAAAAACGCAAGCAGCAAATTTTGAATGTTTATCACATGAATGATATGAATGAAACAA